GCTGGTGTCATTCTATTTCTATCCAAAGTGAAAACTGGCTGTTTAGTGTTTTTTTAAGAGCTGCTCCAAAATTATTTGGCTCCCTGTAAGACCCTTCTCCGCCTTTTGTGAGCAACAGACCTTAAGGAAAGCCAGCAAAATCCTTCAGGACCCATCACACCCACTGTTCTCTGCATTTGAGTGGCTCCCCTCTGGAAGTCACCTTCACTGCTTAGGCTGCTGGACTCAAAGAAGGAGGGCAACTTTTGTTCCCAGAACTGTCCCCCTTCTAAATGCACAACCATCTTTGACCCGCTGACTCCCTGCCAATACCAATGTAATATAATATTATTATTATTATTATTATTATTATTATTATTATTATTATTATTGTTGTTGTTGTTGTTGTTGTTGTTGTTGTTGTTTTCTGTCTTTATATTAACTACTCAGTGAGCTTTGGAATTTCCCCTGGGGGATAAATAAAGTTATTTGAATTGAATTGAATATACTCATGACATGCAAAACCATGTAAATCTAAAAACACTCACTCACAATAACATAAATGTGTATACAAGAAACTAACAGACACACATGCAAGAACACCCACTTGTAAACATATCCACCTCTGTGTGTGTCCTTGAGTCTGGGTATCATTTGTTTGAGCCCCTCTGTTACTCACTGACTTTTTTTTTGTCACATATGGTTTTTCTTTCCCCTGGACACACATCTGGATACTCCTGAATACCAAACTGTGCAGACTGATTGATTACATGTGCCAGTGTGTGCTTGTGTGCCTGATACACACTGTGATTATACATTATGTTATGTGTCCTGCTGTGGCACTATACTTACTCCCTTGCTCCCTTCTTCCCGCCTGGCTCTTTCTCTTTTTGTCTCTGTCTATGTGTCTCTGTCATGGCAGCAGTGGCACATTGAGGGCACAGCGTTCCTGCTGGTCAACCTGATGGTGCCGCTGAATTGTGGTGTAGCAAAGATTAACATGGCATGGAGGCTTTTAGGCCATGGGAGGTCAGCCATCATGGCAACATAGCAGAGCAGAGAGGGGAATTAATGCCGACAATATGTTCCAATGTCCAGTATAAACGTATGCCGTTTTAAATGTAAGATCAACCCTATTAGTTTACTGGCACAAAACAGGCTTGCCTCAGGTGCTTTTTAGTAGCACAAAAGTCCCCAAGGTAATGGAAGCTAATTCATTTCCTACAGTGGTCAACAATGAGGAAACCTAGCAAACAAGCCTTACATCCAACTGGTTAATTCCTTGGCTACAAATTATTCTTTTGTCAGCTGTCACCAACCAACCAACCACAGTTTTTTCATTTTACAGGATGCACTTTTACTCCATGGACATCAGCTACATCTCAAAAGTGGAAAAATTGTGGACAGGTTGATTCTAGCCAACAGAAACATCAGAGTTCTCTATAACCTTCAGAGATTAATTTGAATCCAAAGCACCTTACATTCTATGTATACTGCTTTGGCTTATATCCAAATATTCAGTTAAATAAATCAAATTTTTCTATTTCTTTGTGTAACCCTGAAATCTAAATGTAGCCAAGATAGACCAATATTTAAAAACAAAGATCTGCAAGTTTTTTGTTGCAGCCTTTGCTAGCAATACTGTCTTTCTTTGGCATATTTTCCCATGCAAGCAGTGGTTCATTCTTGTTGCATTTGTAACACATATACTTGTAAGTCATTAAAAGCTGGCTGCGAATGCTTGGTGTACAAAGCACAGGACTGTGACATTGTTTAATTAAGATTTGAGAAAAGTGGGAATAGGTTAAATGTTGTTTCTTGAGAATATTTCTTTGTTTTTTAAGGGCTGCAAGGTGGCTTGGCGGTTCGGACTGTCGTCTCCAAGCTAGAAGATTCCCGGTTCATGTCCCGGTTAGGATGCCTGGGATCTTTCTGCGTGGAGTTTGCATGTTCTCCCCGTGCAGCGTGGGTTCTCTCCGGGTTCTCCAGCTTCCTCCCACACAGTCCAAAAACATGTTGAGGTCAATTGGGGATTCTAAATTGTCCGTAGGTGTGAATGTGAGTGTGCATAGTTATCTGTCTCTAAGTCTAGCCCTGTGATAGACTGGCGACCTGTCCAGGCAACTCAGTCTCATGACAATTCGTGAAATAGTAGTGAGCTGGGATAGACTCCAGCCCCCCCACACAACCCTAATGAGGATTAAGCGGTGTATAGAAAATGGATAGATGGACTTCTTTTTTTTTTTCTTTCTTTTTTGGGGGGNTTCCTCCCACACAGTCCAAAAACATGTTGAGGTTAATTGGTGATTGTAAATTGTCCGTAGGTGTGAATGTGAGTGTGCTTGGTTGTCTGTCTCTAAGTCTAGCCCTGTGATAGACTGGCGATCTGTCCAGGCAACTCAGTCTCATGGCAATTTGTGAAATAGTAGTGGGCTGGGATAGACTCCAGCCCCCCCACACAACCCTAATGAGGATTAAGCGGTGTATAGAAAATGGATAGATGGACTTCTTTTTTTTTTTTCTTTTTTGGGGGGGGCTGATTAAACATAATTACTGACTGTTACTGAACATTTTGCAATCTTGCAGATACTTGCATGAAATATTATTTTTTTGTTTTGCAAATGTGTAATCCGGGTAGCATTATGCTCTTCTTACAGTGTTTGTCATGTGCCACATTGGTGTGGCGGTAATACCACACACTTATATAGCACCTCTACAAAGTGCTTTGCATTGTGTTTCTTATCTGCAGAGACAATAATGGTGGCAAAGCTGCCTTGCAAGGTGTTCGCCTGCCAGCAGAAGTAACTTGGGGTTCACTTTCTTAACCAAGGGACACTAGCACAAAAAGGGGCTGGGGATCAAACTGTAAACCTTGGGATTTGGACAACTGTCTCTTCCATCTGAAACAAGTCCACCTGGCAAAATGCACACACTTTTTCAGAAACCAGTACAAATATAACAAACTATACCTGAGCACAACTACAAATACGTAAAAGGGTGGTATAATAAATTCGGCCAAAACATCCACTGAATGAACCATCATTGCTCACATTGTAGAAAAAGGCAATTCATACAATGTCAGTTACAGAAAGAAACAAAATGCAACCCTTAAACCAACCAGTGCCTCACTTGACCCTTCAATTCAAACAGGACTTTGTAAAATGAATGAATACATTACAACACACACATATATACATGGATTACAACATTTTGGGGTGTTCACGGACAGCCACACAAACAAAACAATACAAAATAACTTAAAATTTCTTTTCCCAGCGTACAAATAAGCGTGTGATGAATTTCTAATATGTTTCTGGCGCTCTGTCTAGCGTGACGCACGTGATATGGCATAAGGCTTTTCACACTTCCTCTCTGTGTCACACACAAATTTGACAAATAAATTACACATCAGCTACAAAGTAAACATACCGTAAAGGACATGACAAGCATAGATTGTCCAGAGCCCAACAGTGGGGGACTGGTGACACTCCAGTGACATTTACTGGTGTGATAATTTGACAGGGGAGTGGGGCAGCTCCAGCAAATCAATGGATATATAAAGAATGGCTTGGATACCGAGAGGAGCGTGTCTTAGGCTTGTGGTCACAGTTTGTAGTGGCCCATGACAGGAACACTACAAACTGTGACCAAGAGGAGAGTGTCTTAGGCTACATGTTGCGGTCACAGTTTGTAGTGTTCCTGTCATGGGCTAAGGTACCACTTCAAAAGGCAATGTGTGCATAAACAGACTCAACCAAATTCCACTTAGAAATCTTAGAGACATCAAATCTTTTGGTAATTTGCCTAAAGGAGCAAATAGCATAAAATGATAGAAATCTTAAACTACAATGTGCTTAGAAACTTTGTGGTGACAGGTTGGGGAAGGCCTGACCTGCCAGAACAGAGCTCTGATGACAACTGTACCGTGTATTTTCGACCAGGATGTGTCCTTTAACACACACATAAAGCACGTCTGCAGGGCGGCCTTCTTTCACCCACGTGCTATTGTCAAAATCAGGAACATCCTGTCTCAGAGTGATGCTGAAAAACAAGCACCCTCTTTACTTTTACGATTAGGCTTTAAACTTTCGTCTTTGATAAAGCTTATAGTTAGATGACCTGAGTTGTCCCTAAATTATGCTGCTATAGGTTTAGACTGCTGGGGGACTCCCATGATGCACTGGGCTCCTCTCCCCTTCTCTCCTCTCTCTCTTCCCTACAGTTATTTTTTGGTTCCTTCCCACCATCGCCGGCTGCTTGCTCATAGGGAACCAAAAGGAAACTTTGGATTGTTGATTCTCTGTTTTCTGTTTAAAATTTGTGAAGTCTTCACCTTACTATATATAAGTGCTATGAGATGACACATGTTGTGAATTGGGGCTGTATATAAATAAAACTGAATTGAATTAAATTGAACTGTTTTGAATTCCACCTTTGCAGTGAACAGAAGCTCTGAGCCAGGCTTTATTATCCTACATCAGCACTGGACCTCACTAATTCTCCTGAGGCTGAATGGGAGAAAATCCCCACAGTCAAGAGCCAAAATTTTGAGGAAAGCCTTTCCAGAATAGTTGTCAATGAAACAGCATATTAGTGCTTATGGTTTTGGAATGTTTAGTAAGTCATATAAATGTGCACCACACAAACCACATGACCACCACCTCAGTCCACAAGAAATAAGTAAAATGAGCATTAAGGGATCATAACACAGCCTCCCTTGTTAATGGAAGCAATTGTTGAGTTTACCTTCTTCCGCTTATTTTGAGCAAATAATGACTTCTTGCAGCTACCAGGAGTCATCCTTAAGCAGAAGTGTGCTGCAGGTCTTTTACTGTTGCCATGCATGCTGGGAATTTCTCTTCACAGAGCGACACCAAGCCCCAGTATGTTGTACATTCTTGCACTAAACACACGCAGAGACGCACACATCCAGAGAAAATGTGCATCTTTTTTGTGTGTCAGATTTAAAAAAGAACTTTGATCTGGATTGAACAATTGCATGCATGAAGGCCAGTACTCACAGAGAGGGATCATGGACGAGATCTTTGAGGTTGACACCACTGCGATCCTCTGCAAGGTTCCGAAAACAGCTGTCACTCACTGGACAGGCAGAGACAGAGACAAAGAAAAAATTCAGTTAGCACACAAATTCAGTAAAATGCATGAGGGGCTTTCGCACAAACTCTTTTTGTTTCATCATTGGCATTGTCCAACAGTTAAACGATTGGTTTTCATAAATGCAAGTAATTACAAGTGAAATGCATCCAAAACTTTGACCGCCCCAAAACTCTTTGTACTCATGCCAGCTCACTTATCAACTTTGCATGAAGAATTACTCCTTATAATGTTTATGTTTTCTAAACTGTGTCATGACTAGCTGCATGTGAATTCCCATGACAGGAGACTGAACTGATCAACAGATAAAGAAATTGGTGCAACACACCAAAGCAATCCTTCTTTAAAAGAAATAATGTTAAACTAGAGGAGGAACATGAGAGGAACGCCACTCCATGCACATCTTTAAATGGGTCGGCCCTGTTTTTGTATTTATTCTTGCATTTCACAAATATGATTTGACGAAAAGTGTATCTCCAGTACTCATGCTGCTTCACTGTGTCTTAATTAGCAAGCAAAGGATGCAATCATTGTTTGCAGCCACACGTCAGTCATGACTGTTACAAGGCAGGTGTGTCTGTATAAAGAAATCTTTTCTGGTGTACCTTCCAGATCTTCTTCTGCATCATGTTTTCCAACACTGTTATGCTACAAATTAAATAAGGTCACTACATGAATAATATAAGTACTGAAATATAATAAACACTGACAACATGCACTCCCCCAATCCTACCTTGCACACTTTCTGATCTCACTGAGCCTATGTAAAGCTACACCTTCATCATCTTCATGCGCTCTACAAAAAACACGGTGGCCCCTTCACTGCAGAGCAAGTGTGAGACACATGAGTCATCATGGTGATCACAGATGGATAGAGTGACGGATAAAGTAAGACAGGGAGGAAGAGGAAGATGTGGAGAGAGAAATGAAAAAAAATATAACAAAGTGAAAGGAGACAGAAAGAGACAGCTGAGGATGATGAACAGAAGGCCAAGTTGTTTTGTGATGTGATGGAGCCAAACAGTAATGGCCACACTAAAATAGATGTAAAATGCAGCTTTTGAGGGGGTTATGGTGTTGCAGTGGCAACCCCCCCCCCCCCCCCCAAAAAAAAAACAACTTAATGTGCTAGTTGTAGTCAAAACTGAAAATGTCACAATGTTACTCCAATGAAGTGCCATGATCCATGAACGAGAGGATGAGCGGAGGAACAGGGTGAGTGGAGGGGTGAATCCAGCATAGTGTAAAAAATGAAAGTGGGATGGCAAAGGGGGGATACAAAGGAAGAGAATGTAACAAAGCTAGAAAAAGGAATGGGACAGAATGTCAGGATGTGAATAGAGGGAATGAGAGATTGAGCTGGAGATGAGAGAATGAAAAGATGTAGGATGGAGAGGAAGACATTTTTTAAAACGACAAAGGGAGGGAACGTGATAAAGAGAAAAGCAGTGCCAATGGGCCAGTGCTGGGGAGAAAGAGGTAAACAGAGGGTGCAGGAGTCAGGACGTTGCTCTGGGCTTTGGCAAATAAACAGGAGAGTGCTGACAGTAGCACACTGAGCCAACTCTGAAAGCGAAAAAGAAAGGAAGAAACAAGGGAGACAGAAGGACTGTTGGAAAGGGGTGGTGGTGAAGCAAGAAAAAAGGTTGAGGGAGGAGGGAAGAAGGAGAGCAAGCACATGGAATACACACCACGCTGGCTGAAGAGGGGCACTGCTGCATAAGTGCATGTGTCTCTATGTGTTTGTGTGTGTATGTGTGTAAAGAGGAAACTTCCTTCAAGACTGCAGTATTCCTTACAAACACACGCACGCACACACACACGCATGTAGGCACGCACACACACACAGCCCTCCTCAGTTTTTCTCTCCCAGCTACCCCTTGATCTAAAAATAGCCGTTCCACTCTCCTACAAGAGGCAGCAACCATTCTGAACCAATCAACACGGTCTGTCAAAGGCATCGGTATCCACCACCCTCAATGTGTGTGCATGTGCATGCATGTGTTTGTACGCATGTGTACAACAAGGGGAACTCCTGCCCGAATGTAATAAAACTGCCCCTCCCTGCTGCACTGGTTAGAGATGCTGGTAAAGCGATCTCCAGAAAACAATTGCATGAACAACAAAAAGAAAGCAAGAGGGAGAAAATGAAGGAACAAAAAGAGGGAGAGAAGGCGAGAGGGGGAAGAGAGGGACAGGGAGATCTGGCTGCAGTTGAAACAGGCTTCAAAGGAATATTAATGTGATTCTGAGTAAGAGCTGAATACAGGGGAAGGGGGTGGGGGGGTGGGAAGAGGAATGGAGGATGGAGAAAGAGCGAGAGGCGAGGGGATAAGGTGCACAGGAATTTATGACACTGCACCCTCCCACCTTTCTAGCTCCGCCCATGCACCTTTCTCCAGGTGAATCTGCAGCTTAGCTTTCATCGCCTTGCCCAAAACACCACCGTACCCTGCATCATCTCTGGTAGGCTTTGTAAAAGCTGCAATGTTGGAGTCAGCTGGATTTAATTGTTCAAGCAGACACCTATACAGCTTTACTTTGAACCTTATGTGAGCTTCAGAGTCATACCGAATATGAATGAGAGGAGGGGACAAGGGCTGCTCCATGCCCAGGTCACAGTCAAAGTGAATACATGATGCAGTGACCTCTGCCTCACCCCAGAGGGAGCTATTCCCACTAGGAGACAGACAGCTCAGGTCAGACAGACTTCTGTCAGAGCTGAGACTGGTTCATACTCTAGATTATGTCATGCTGCTATTTTGCAGGCAAATATTTGAAGGCAAACAGCAGCTCATATCTTGTCAATGTAATTTTGATATCAAGTTTTCATTTTGGATACTCCTGATAAGAATGATTGCCCTTGCAGCTGCCCTTTCCTTTTTCAGTATTCATTTCTTTGTTTCAAAGGGAATGATATTTTTAGGACTGACTTAACATGCCTCAGATGTCGTATGCTTCATGATATCTTCTATATTGATGTCTCAAACCGCACTGCATTTATTCACACAGATTTCTCTGTAAATGTAGTAAATTTCCACTTTTCTGGGGCCGATGTCTTCATTGAATGTGATCACCACATATTTGCCTCTACTTGTGAATGTGTGTGAGTGCAGAAGCTTAGATGTCCCAAGGCAACAGCAGTAGGAGGAGAGCAGCAGACCTGCGCTTCAGAAACATTATACAGGGCAACATGGCTCACAAGAGGCATATAGATGTCACCACCCTAACAGAAACACAGGCTCATGCAACAACCTTGATCTCTAAGTCAGAGAGATGAAGACATAACAGAACACATCAAGAGACAAAGGCAAAAGTAAACTGATCACAGAGTAAATAATATAAATTGGCCTCTACTGGAAGGACCACTAGTGAGAGAATGTCTACTTAGTACAACTAACAGACACAAAATATTATTTTGTAATACAAATATCTTGAGTCTATACAGTCATTGTTTCTTTTTAAGTAGTGATGCGGAACGCTCCAAAAAAATCCAAAACTGACGTGGCATAATAGTGTCACAGTCCTGTGTGAAGTATCGCCACATCTCAATGTAAATGATGTTGCTGTCAGGACATGGGACTTCTGCGACAGAACCAACTGTATTAATTTACTTTTTTGAAGAAAGTTCCACTATCTAAAGCAAGTGCACAGCAGGAGGCTGTGTTAGCTAAAGCAGGCTAGCCCTCTATGCAATATCAACAGTAACTCAGTGGGATAGGATTCTGTCAGTAAACTTGTTGATTGCCCCTTTATATCTGATCAGATCTTCCATAAAGTGCATTCTATTTCTTTTGACTCAAAGGACAGATCACATCGAAACTGAGTTGTGAAAATGTTGAATCAAGGGATGTGGGATTGGTCTATTTACTACAAAGCTATGCTTCTTTGGAATATTGTTTTAATTGTCTGAGCCTTAGCAAAACTTGTAATTGTAGGAACTTAGAAGGCCAAAACAAAATAATTACAGTAAATTGTTTCTGTTTCTTGGCTGCAAGGTGGCTCGGTGGTTACCGTTGCCTCCCAGCTAGAAGGTTGCCGGTTCGTGTCCCGGTTAGGACACCTGGGATCTTTCTGGAGTTTTTCTGGAGTTTGCATGTTCTCCCCGTGCAAAGTGGGTGTTCTCCGGCTTCCTCCCACAAGGTCCAAAAACATGCTGAGGTTAACTGGTGATTCTAAATTGTTCGTAGGTGTGAATGTGAGTGTGCTTGGTTGTCAGACAATACTCAAGCAAACAATTATACAATTTAAACAAATGAACGTGTGTGTGTAAAGCCTTCATTTTCATATTGTATCTACTTATTCAATGCATGCACACTATTGTCCTTGTTGCATAGGCGTCACACAGACACAGATTTTTGGTTGCGCAAAATTGTCTGCTGAGGGGATGGTGTGAACTCCTGCAGACCAGGGGAGGTGATGAAATTTAAGTCATCTAACCCTAAACTCTACAATACTTAACCTGCCTGTGAAAACTATTGCTTGTACATAAAGAAGGTAAAACACACCTGACATGCTTATATGGAAGAACCTGTTTCCAAGATCAAGCTTTTCTCCAACGGTCTCATTACAAATGTGAATTTATGTCATATAATTTAGAAAATTTCAGACATACATCAGCTCTTCCTTCATTTTTGTCTTTCGTGCCTGGCAAGATTCATTTCTATTGGTCACATGCGTATTTATCACAGCGTGCAGCAGCTGACCACTGAGAGAGTGCGAGATTGCTGGACAGTGTGCTTTGCTCAAATTACAAACTGTGCTTTACACATAACATGGTTGTACAACTGCGTCAGCGGCTGGCTATAGACTCCTCTGGGCACAAAACACAGAAATTACATTAGTGAGGTTTTGGTTTTTTTTTGGTACTTGTACCCAACTTCTGAAGAAACAACCCAAATGACAGAAATTACAAATTTAACTGAAAGACAATTATTCATTTGTGAACTAATTGAAAATAATGGATAATATAAGTTTTCTGTTTG